CAGCAGGGCACCGTCACTGGCTCGCTCAGGAAGCCCCGGCAGCCCAGGCAGCTGAGGATGCCGCAGGCATCTGCGCCCACGGCCGCAGCAGGGGCTGCGCTCCAGCCCAGCCCGTGGCGGAGCTGGTAGTTGAACACCAGGTAGTCCACCAGGGTGCCGAGGCACTCGGGCCTGGCCGGGGCTCCCTGGCACAGCCCCTCTGGCGCTGCCTTCAGGTGGCCGCCCAGCGCCAGCAACTCACCACAGTGGAGCAGCAGCTCCCAGCGCTCCAGCGGGTCACCGCCCACTTCCCAGAACCCGCCTTGGCCCCGTGGCGTGGGCGCCGTTTCCCGACTCCCTCCAGGGGCGGTCCTCGCCACGGCTGGAGACGTTATGGCCCGTGGAGGGCTGCTCTGCCACCGCCGCTGCCTGCCGCCATGGTCCCGGAGCCTCCGGGACGCGTGGCTCCGCACGCGGGCTGTGAGCAGGGCAGAAGGGGTGGCGCTGGCAGGACTGAAAGTTTAGAGGGAGCTGACTGGTATGGGGGGGGAATTATCTCTTCCAAGTTAGAATCAGGGAGAACGGGGTAAAAGGGGTTCTTTGGGGACTTACGGAAGGGATTCTGCTTCTCGCGAGGCTGTGACAACACACTCTTGACCTGCAAGAGAACACTTGTTAGAAAGGTCCCTTCTCGTGGCCAGCCTACATTGAAGGGGCCACTCAGTGGCACACATTGTCTCTGTCTGTCCCATCTCACTCGTCAGTACTGTCGCCTCAACAAACACAACCAACAAGACGAAAAGGGAAAACGACAAGAGACAGACAGTAGCGGCCGCGAAAACAAATCTGAAAGTATGATAGGGGAGAGACAGACCGTCGACGAGTCTGACCTTCCCCACAGATGAAGAACTCGTCTTCCGGATGGGGACGTGAGACGTCTCCCACGAGCCCCGGCCCGCGGCTTTCCAGCGCGTCCTCCTAGCCTGATGCCAACCTCAGAACAAAGTGTGGAGCTCCACCTGAGACAGAGAACACAGATGCGCTAACCCGGGAGTGACTTACCGAATGCCCGCCTGAAAACCCTCCGGACTGGGGTCTCGGGGTCTCTGGTATCCCAGGAGAGCCCCCAAATGTAGTGACCGAAAGTTCAATCCGAGAGACCACCAAGAGCCAATACCGATGAAAGTTCAAGAGGGTCTTTATTTACAAGCTCGAGCCTGGGCCTCTGCTGACAGCCGACACAGCGGAGTACATTCAGAGGCTCTGATTTCCTTAAGCAGATGCCTTTTATGCTTTTACACAAAGGGAGGAGGAGTTTGGGGGGACTTTCCAGTTGTGTTACCATTTAATTGGGTAGTAACCTCTGGTGGTCAGCTTAATCGTGGAGGATTGGCTTGCCTGACTCGGGCTGACCTTGGTCCACTAGCTAGGGAAGTTGCAGAGACATCTGGAAACTTAGGTGATTACCCCCTGGCACCCGATTGGATGTTGCTAAGGGGAAAGTGAGATAAGGGAAGGGGTTGAAGCTTTGCAGTTTTTCCCATAACTGGAACTTTAAACAGTTACAGGTTATGTTTTAAGACAGAAAACTAAAAACGGCTGTGCTATTGTCCACAAGCTGATTACATATTTACTGGGTTATAGCATGCTCTTAACCTAAGTCTATGGTATACTTTATTATGGTCCTCTCAGCCTGAGGCTGGCAGATCGAGGCTGTGGTGACCGTGAGCGTGCCACTGCCCTCCAGCCTGGCAACAGATTGAGACTCTGACTAAAAAAACCCCTCCAAACAAGTAAAATGTTTTACTTGCCTATCCATACCAGAACAATAACCCCTATGTTTTAATACAAAGCCATGTCTATGATATGCAACTTATCAACTGTGACTCTGTGCAAATTATTCCCTAAGATAAATACAATACTCATGACTTAGCTGGTTTAAAAGACTCTTGAGTGAGTGCTTTAATGAATAAAGCACTGCTCTACCTTATAGCAAAAACCCGAAGAATAAAGTCTACAGAAACATCAGTCATTAAAATGTCAGAGAATCCCAATGCACTGTCACTATTCTGCATGAGTAAACAGGCTTTATTCAGAACTTGGGGTCAGCAGCTCCTGCCTCTTATCTCAACACAAATCAGTTGTTTATTAAAATTGATGAAGACAGACGTGTTTGGCTTCTCAAGTCAGTAGTCCCTGGAGGGGATGGTCCTAGCCTGACCCTTCCTAAAGGATGAAGTTTCTCATTCCCTCCTATTTTCTCTAGGACCTCACAGATCCCATTATCTTCTTTTCTGTAACTAACTCCTGTCTCTCTGCTCATAGAGTACTATAAATCTTTGGATTTGTTCAGCTCTCGCCAATCTTTCAAAAATGATTCGTTTTCCAGTTTTCCTCTACCTCCTGTGAACCACCTCACCACACAGCCACCAGTTAGGAAAAAAAAAACAAAACACTTTCCACACTTTGATGGACACAAACAATGAGTGGCTGGGGACAAGAAAGGAAGATTTTATCTATATTTTGGGGGTTCCAGAAGTGTTTAATTACATTCTAAGGAAACAGAATTAAAATTGGAAAAAAAAAAACCAACCTTCCTGCCTTCTGGCCCCAATCCTACAGCAGGGCTTCTCTCTCCCTCCCTCTCCCCCTGCACAGCCCCCCCGCACCCAAGTCCGAGCTGATGGTGCTCATTTGGGACACACCTACCTCTGCCCGGAGTTGCACATCCCACTGTTGCAGGAAAACAGAGAGGCCATGACACCGAGGCTAATTCAAGAAGCAGCGTGTTATGGTGCCGGTTCAACTCAGCGGGCTAATGCTCCAAGGCTGAGCAACCCAGAGAAAGAAGAGTGTTCTATGTCAGTTTAGGTAAGGGAGGGGGTCGCTTGTGTGGCTATACATTTTTCTTTGGAATTTGCAAAGTTGTGTTCAGCAAAAACAGATTTTTAAAGAACAAATTAGCCGGCTCGGTGGCTCAGCCTGTAATCCCGCACATTTGGGAGGCTGAGGTGAGTGGATTGCCTGAGCCCACGGGTTCGAGACCCGCCTGGGCAATTTTGCGAGACCTCATCTCTACAATAAATCAAAATGAGCCGGGCGTGGTAGCGCGTGCCTGTAGTTCCAGCTACTTGGAAGGCTGAGGCGGAAGGATTGCGGGAGCCTGGCAGGTCAAGGCTGCAGGGGCCAGGAGTGGCTGCTGCACTCCAGTCTGGGCGACAGAGTGAGACTCCAACTCAAAAAAGAAAGAACAAATTGTTTCCAGGATATACATGACAAGCTGGGATTGTAAACTGATCACGTCACAAAGAGAGGATGGGGGAGAGGGGTGTCAAGTCCTTTTGACACCGTTGTGGATTTTCTGTCCTGAGGAAAACAAAGCTCCCGTCTCTACTATAGTCAAGGAGCCGAGGTCCGTGGGAAGAACATGCACACACACCTCAAGGGCAGAGCACGAAAATGTGCAGGCACCCTAAGGTCCCTAGGACACCGCGCGGGCTGAGCAGATTGCGGCCTTGGCAGCCTGGGTAGGGTCGGAGTCATGGAGGGTGGCGGTGAACGTGCTCGTCAGGCAAGTTTTGAATTAGGAATGGTAGATTTATTAAAGGGAGGATGCGTTGTGGAAGGCAGGACAGCAGAGAGAATGTCTGCCATCTGTTAAGAGGCAGGAGTGTTTTTATAAGAGAGGTTCGCCGTGGGCCGAGGGAAAATTGTCTTTGGGGAAAGTCTGCGAAAGGAAATTTCCAGAGGTTTGTGAAGCCGCTGGTTGATGGCGGTATTTTGTTTCTTTGAGATAAGGCTCATTAACAGCAATAGTTGACCGCCTTTGTGTTTGCGGGAACCAGGAAATAACAGTGAGTTGTTAACTACTTTCTTTGTTGGCAGTTGAACCAATAGCAAATGTTTTGCATCTGCTCCTTGCTGTTATCAGTAAGTTTCTTTGTAGATTTTTATCTTGGGGGGTCCCTTTCCCTAATATAATTTACTCAGCTGATGCTGACCTAATCAGGCCTCATGTCCCTCCATAGGGGTCTCATGGTTTAGCGGTTTCTGGTGCCCCATGATAGACCTCCCCAAATCCTCAAAGCCCAACTGTTTCTGCTTACTCAGATGAGACACGGCTTGGAGATGTGGGGAATTCAAAAGGGTCCCTTTTCAATCATGCCTGAATGACAGCACCTGTTCAAACACTTCTTTCGTTTTAAATACAAGAAAACCAGAAGACACAAGCCACCTCTTTTCACTCTCAGTCAGATTCTTCTGTAGGCATTCATTTTGTAAGACAAAGGTGAGTACAGAGCTGCTAGTGGCCAAGTTCTGAATAAAACCAGCTAGCATACACAACGATATGCTCAATCAGATCAGTCACCAGGTTTGATTACCATCCCCAACAACTGGAGCAGATGATGGATGTGGAAGATCTGGCTTGTCTCTATTTGGGAATTGCTCTCTAGAGGTGTATCTGAGGAGTCAGGAGCCATCTGAGGCAGTGGAATATAGCTCCTGTGCCTTGGGGCTGAAAGGAAGTAGACACACTTTTCTCTCAGTTAACACCCACCAAAGAAAAAGGAGGAAATAAACAAGGAAGTGACAGGACGGATGACACCTTTTAATCAAGGAAACCCTCAGCATTCACATTGTTGTACTAGTAAAATACATGGTACTAAATCCTGGGTATGTATTTTAATTCTGCACCCCTTGAATAAAAAAATTAATTAATTAATTAATTTTTTATTTTATTTTTTGTTATTTAGTTTTCATTTCTCTGCAATCCAACTAGACGTGGAAGGGAATAAGGAAAATATGGAACCCAGAGAATTGTAGCGAGAGCACACAGGGGTACTGCGAGCAAATGGGATGGGGGGGTGCTCTCCCGAGCTACAGAAGGAATGATCTGGTAGTTTAAGATAAAACAAGTCAAATTTATTAGAGTGGTCCACCTTCAGCAATGGAGATCTTCTTGCTGGTCTTGCCATTCTTGAACCCAAAGCCCTCCATGGCTTGCACAACATTCATGCCCTCTTTCACCTTGCCAAAAACCGCATGCTTTCCATCCAACCATTCAGTCTTAGTCGTGCAGATAAAAAACTGGGGACCAGCCGGGCTCGGTGGCTCAGCCTGTAATCCCGCGCCTTGGGAGGCTGAGGTGAGTGGATTGCCTGAGCCCGCGGGTTTGAGACTCGCCTGGGGAGCGAGACCTCATCTCTACAATAAATCAAAAAATCAGCCGGGCGTGGTAGTGCATGCCTGTAATTCCGGCTACTTGGAAGGCTGAGGTGGAAGGATCACCGGCCCAGCAGGTCGAGGCTGCGGTGGCTGGGAGCGGCTGCTGCATTCCAGTCTGGGTGACAGAGTGAGACTCCAACTCAAAAAAAAAAAGAAAAGAAAAACTAGGGACCAGCTGGGTTCGGTGGCTCAGTCTGTAATCCTGAGCCTTGGGAGGCTGAGGTGAGTGGATTGCCTGAGCCCGCCGGTTTGAGATCCGCATAGGCAACTTGGTGAGACCTCATCTCTACAATAAATCAAAAAATTAGCCGGGTGTGGTAGTGTGCGCTTGTAGTTCCAGCTATTTGGAAGGCTGAGGTGGAAGGATCGCTGGAGCCCAGCAGGTGGATGCTGCAGTGGCCAGGAGTGGCCACTGCACTCCAGTCTGGGTGACAGAGTGAGACTCCAACTAAAAGAAAAAAGAAAAAAAGAAAGAAAGAAAAACTGGGGACCGTTTGTGTTGGGTCCAGCATTTGCCATGGACAAGATGCCAGGACCTGTATGCTTCAAGATGAAGTTCTCATCGTCAAATTTCTCCCCATAGATGGACTTGCCGCCAGTGCCATTATGGCGTGTAAAGTCACCACCCTTGCACATAAACCCTGGAATAATTCTGTGAAAGCAGGAACCCTTGTAACCGAATCCTTTCTCTCCAGTGCTCAGAGCACAAAAGTTTTCTGCTGTCTTTAGAACTTTGTCTGCAAACAGCTTGAAGGAGACACGGCCCAAAGGCTCACTGTCCACGGTGATGTCGAAGAACATGGTGGAGTTGACCATGGCTGATGGGAAAAGACTCAAGGCGTCGGCGTCTGAAAAGCCAAAAAAAAACAAAAACAAAAAAAGCTTAGAGTATAGCAGGAATCTTTACAGAGAGAGATGGGACACCGAGGCTACTTTGCCAGGAAACAGCGTTTATTTATTCATGCTGACATCCAAAGGCTGAACCCTGGACACAAGGAGACATTGCCATATATACTATTTCTTTCCATTGTAACTTCTTTGTCTCCCTTATAAGGTTACAGTTTGGCATTATTTATTTGGTTGGACATTTTGTGGCTCGAGGCTGCAGTTAGCATTACATGTTACACACTGATTGGTTTTACTTAATTATTTCATTTGCATGTCCTGTTTACTGATTGGCTTACCAGATCAGTATCCTGATTGGATTCCGCCCAAAGTTTGAACATGCAGCCCACCCAAGTGAAAAGTCCAAGAGTAGCACAAAGAACCAGGAAGTAACTTATATAAAAACAAAAAGTAGGGTACCTTATAAAAAATGAGAAGTAAAGCAACTTATGTAAGAACAAGAAGTAATATATTTTCTTTTTCCTGACTTTTGCCTCTGCATTTTTGCTTTTGCAGAGGGACCCCTGCCTCAGAGAACATGATCTATGTTTCTTATGTAAATGATTTATATATCCCTCTATTTTTGAAATGTTTAGGGAGTGTTTTCTGTTTACAGAATCTGGGAGAAGATTTTGGATGCATACTTTTTTTCAGTATATTCTTTCTCCACAGACTTCAGTTAATGTAGTTAGCTGCTGCAACAGATAAACTCCAAAGTATCAGTTGTTTGAGCACGATGCAAAATGTATCACTGCTCTATGTGCCACTGCAACATGAACTCTCAAACATGAGTAACTCTGCTTGCTGATTTTTCTCCAAAGAGAGATTCAAGGTTCCAGGCCCTGCAGTGATGCTAGACTTAAGTTTGACTAAAAGAAAACATTATTTCCAACCAGATGGCACGTTCAGTCCACAACAGGAAATGAGGAACGTAGGCAGCGTGATGCAACGTGACATCAAGAAACAGGATTCTTTAAAGCACACGAGGATCAGCAAGGACAGATCACCACACTGGTTCTTCACTGTGTTGTAAACACAGTGGCCAAAACGCCAAACCAAACAAAAGGGTAGCACTTTGTCAGACCCTTGTCAATGACTGTGTCAGCCTCAGACACACCCTTCACCTGCAAGACTAGTTAAGAGTCTCCCTGGTAACCCCTTTCTATTTAGAAAATTCATTTTTCAATATGAAATATGTTTTAAAATTGATTTTACCATAAAGTTGGAAGCTCAGAAAATATGCAAATAATGCATCCACACATAAGGAAAAGTCCCTGTAATCCCAACAAAGATAGGACACCTTCAAAAAGCATTGATGTCACAGACCATGCGGGGGGGGGGGGGGGGGGCGGGGAAAGCATTGCAGTCAGGCACTGTGCTCTTGTCTATACCTGCGTTCACTACTCTGGGGAGATTCTCAGGACTGGCATTTATGTGTGTTGCTTTTCTGTAACTTAAAGGTTAATAATTATTGTCTGGTTGCCAAGCCCCAAATGTGGGACATATTGTATCTCTAATATGCATTGTATGGGAATTCAGTTCTTTGTTCACCTTTATGTGAAATATGTATTCTTTAACTTTTTTGTCTAAACAGTTTAACTGAAACATGTTCTCCTTAGCTCACCACTGCACAAATGCCTGCCCATTTCAGGCTATGAGAAAAGTTGATATTCTTCTTTGCCTATGCCTAAGCATCTATGTGTGTCTGTAGGGATGTGTTCAACCTATTGGGAAGGTTTCGATAAGATTTTAAAAGATTTTTTAATAGTATTTTCTTTCTAAAATATTTAACCTGTATAGCATGACAAGAGGCAGGCATTTATGGCTCAACCTTATTTTCTTCTTGTGGATCACCACCTATTACTGCATCTTTTCTTAAACAGCGTCTGAAGTTAAAAATCTCCAGTTCCTTATAGAGTCTATCCCCCTGCAACTGGGCTCCATCCCCAAGCTCTGAGCTGTGCTGTAGTCTGAGCTTATGAGTCATATCATTAAATATTATATCCAGTCTCTGTTCAGTGCATCATTAGTGCTCCATTTTTATTTTGTGATTTGTTTATTTCTAGCTTTTCTCTTTGTCATGAATTTACCCAACATGGATTCCAGATTATCTATATTTTAAAATATTCATGGTGATTCTTAAAAGTACTCAAAATTGACCTTCCATACTCTCCAGCAATACCACTCCTGGGAATACACCCAGAGGAACCCAAATTGCTCTACCAAAAAGACACCTGCACATGCATGTTTACAGCTTCACTCTTCACAATAGCAAAAACACGGGCCCAACCCCACTGCCCATCAAAATTAGACTGTCCTGGGGAGTCCTCAGTCCACCCTGCTGGGATGGTTTGGGGACCAATTTACCTGGAAGGTTTATTTTTGCCAACTGCTCTGTTAGGGTGGAAAAAGAAATTACTTCTGACCTAGTTTCTTCGGTGACCTTTCACTATAGATCAACTCGTGAATGTCAAGACACATACAATTTCTCATGCTTCTTGTCTGTATCAAATAAGCCTTCTCACTTTGTACCAATAGTTTTAAATTCAGAGGTCTGTTAATTCGACACAGTGGGGTTCTGTGGGGGACTAGTCAGAGCTTTCTCACACAAGTATGTGTACACTTGGAAAAAATGATCACTTGCCTGGCACAAGTAGGCACTTTTAGTGCTCAATGCTCTTCAACCCTGGCCTGGTTGTTTCCTCTCCCTTGTCATCTTCCTCTCAAAACACACATTCAATATTTATATGCTGCATAAATATGTTATACTATTCCTACGTGACACAGACCACCACCCTATCACCATGGCAACAGTCCCTGTGCTTACCTGCCCTCTTCATAAAACTGATGGCCACCCCATCACCATGACGACCTGCCCCACCCGAGGGAAGCTTTAAAAGTACTCGGTGGCTCAGCCTGTAATCCCGCACCTTTGGGAGGCTGAGGTGAGTGGATTGCCTGAGCCCACAGTTTGGAGACCTCATCTCGACAATAAATAAAAAATTAGTGGGGTGTGGTAGCGCACGCCTGTAGTTCCAGCTACTTGGAAGGCGGAGGTGGAAGGATCGCCGGAGCCCAGTGGGTCGAGGCTGCGGTGGCTGGGAGCGGCCACTGCACTCCAGCCTGGACAACGAAGTGAGACTCCAACTCAAAAAAAGCAGACAAAAACAAAAACAAAGGAAGGAAGGAAAAGAAACTCCTGCTGGCCTGCAGTAATGATACGTCTCTCGCATTTGGACCTCTGACTAGAACAAAGTTGCTTGAGAAGCCCTGAATTGGGGTAGCTTGCAACTTCCCCCCCACTCTTTGGCCCCAGAAACCAGACTGCTAACTGCACCAAGTAGACATTCGTATTCATGTTCCCAGCACAGAGCTACCTTTCGACAGACAGCTGCGCCCGTGGGTCTGTCCTTTGGGGAAGGGTAGCACCAAGGACAAACATGCTCTGAAACATCCCATGAGCCCCCGGGGTGACCGAGTGAGACTCCGACTCAAAAAAAAGTACTCAACCTCAAGCACTTGCTGCCATGGCTCTGGATCCACCCTCTCTCTCATCTTCTTTTTAAATAAACTATCTTTCCCAATCTAATTTTTGTGCAGTTCTTTGCATCTTACCCAGGACACCAGCCCAGTCCACTCACCCACTGACCTAACACCCTTTTTCAACCTTTAAGAATAATAGACGAGCCGGACTCGGTGGCTCAGCCTGTAATCCCACGCCTTGGGAGGCTGAGGTGAGTGGATTGCCTGAGCCCGCAGTTTCGAGACCTGCCTGGGCAGCGAGACCTCGTCTCTACAATAAATCAAAAAAATCAGCTGGGTGTAGTAGTGCGTACCTGTAATTCCAGCTACTCGGAAGGCTGAGGCGGAAGGATCGCCGGAGCCCAGCAGGTCGAGGCTGCGGTGGCCGGGAGCGGCCACTGCGCTCCAGTCTGGGCAACAGAGGGAGACCCCAACTCAAAAAAAAGAAGAATAGATGAGTATTCATCATTGACCCCATACTTTTCAGCTTTTCCTGCAGATGTTAGCGAACTGCTATGCTGGGAAGGAATGGCCATATGCCCAGGAAGGGCGTTGGGGCTCTATTTTACATGTTAGCAGAGGAAGTTCTGAGCATTCAGCCTCTGCCCCAGTTAACTGGTCTTGAGCCTTCAGCCAAACCCAGTGAAGCTGATAGATTTACTGCCCACATTTTCACTGGCAGAGAGGAAAACAGAAATGCCCTCTTATCTAGTTTTCTAAGGCCTTTCATACTGGTGTCTACTACTATATGTCAAGTTCTATGCCATTTTCCATGCTTCTTGTATGGTAAAATAGTCCAGCTGACCTTGCATTCAAGAGCTTTCAACTCAGTGCAACTTTAAGCAAATTCAGTACAATTCTTTAAATCCAATGGGGACCAGTCAGAGTGGCTCACTTCCCATGTAGCTACACTACCACACAAACTGTCAATTGCCTTAGCGAAGATAGGCAAGCTTAGCACTCGATGCACTTTTACTCGGGCCTGGCTTGTTTTTAACCCCTTGCCATTTTTCTTCCAAAAGACACTGTCAATATTTATGATGTTACATATATACGTTTGTAATTATGTGTATGGAGGTATCATTTCTAGTCGATTTTCCTCTAGACGGCAGCCTAGTCTCTGTTGTTGTTTTAGATGCAATCGGGCATTCAGGATGGTATGGCTGTAAATCTATCTGTATTTCAGAGAAGAAAGTTAAAACATGACAGTTAAAGAAAATACTCATTTTCCTATGTCTAGCAAGAACATTCAACCTTACGACTGAAGCTGGGTGGAAAGAACTTTAACTTTTTCAACACTTTGGAAATGGTTCACTCTTGTTTTAGAAGAGAGGGGAAATACTGCTGGCCTTCATTAAAAGAATTGGTGTCCCAAGAGTCTACGGAAGCAAACAAGAGCCTGTGGTA